AAACGGGCACACAGTCCACCTGATGGTAGGTAGTTGCCTATGGATCATAGACATCTACGTTAATCCTCGATTAAGAGTCAAAATGAAGATGCGTTGTCACTCCTCAGGACTAAGGTGGAATGCCTCGTTTCCAGTAAAAAGGGTCTCCAGTTCTCTACACTCACCATACGAAACACATCATTAAGCAATATTTTATCTACCCATTCGGTATCGAATGTAGTCCTTCTCCGCTCGAGATGGCCCATCCGTGCTACATCCACAATAAACCTGCAGCGTGGCTCTGCCACACTGAAATCCTTCTAGAACACTACGAACTGGTGAACCATATGGGTACGCACTCATTTTACTTTTACTTACGTTTTATAAGAATGTGATAGAACTGTTAATCGTTGATTCAAATCTCAGCCTGAGTTAATTTTTGTGCAAGAATACAACTTATCAAATCTTTTTTAATGTACTCCAGACTTAATTTCGGTCATTCGGCAGGTCAGGTATATAATACAAAAGTGTGTACGCAAGCACAGAAGAATTCTCTATTCCCTCACTCTCATAGTCCGATGGTACGGCAATCCGACACGACCGGAGAGAGATCAGGAGCGTGACTATCGCTTTTAAGTACTTTCCAGGGCACGGGTGTGAAACCGTCAACTTCCTGACTCCGGGCTGCTACTGAAAAATTCTTCGTAGAAAAACCTTGGTAATAACTGATTTTGCCCCACTCGAATTTTGAACCCGGAACTACATAATGAGCAATCTTGTTTAAGAGACTAGTCCAACAAGACACTCATTATTTAATCTACTGCCGTTTCTAAACGAGCTTCCTCTGCTTGAAGAAGAAACGATGAAGGAGACACCACAGTTATCCTCTTTTTTTCTTAAGAGAACTCTGACCTAAAAGACCACTGTGACAGACAGATAGAAACACACTAAGGTAAGTCTTTAGTAGGGTTGCCACCTTTCTTATATAGTATTTTTTCCAAAAAAAAATGAAAAAAATATAGTACTTTGGAAAATTCAGGAAATAAAAAGTACACGTTTATTTTTAATCTTTATGTATTTTAATTTCCAAAAAAAATTCGAAGACATGTGAAGTTCGTCAACACGCATTGGGGCGGTGCGGCGGACATTTCCTTGCCATGAAAGCCTCTCAGAAATTAGGGGAGGCCTGTGCCCAGCATTGGGACATATATAGGCTGTAACTTTATCTTTAACCTTTTAACATACTCGTGTATTTGTGATTACTCTTCGCTTTGGCCATCAATAATCTATTATCTGTAAAATAGTTTTAGGAATCTGAGCAATTTAGATTCATATTTTTTTCATAGGATAAGGGTGACAAACGAGCACACAGTCCACCCGATGGTAAGTGGATGCTGTGGCCCATAGCCCATAGCTGAGGCTATCCTCGATTACGAATCAAAATGCAGATGCGTTGTCACCCGTGAGGACCAAGATGAAATGCCTCGTTTCCAGTAAAAACGGTATCCGGTTCTCTACACTCAACATACGAAACACAGCGTAAAACAGCAGCATTAAGCTGCTATTTTACGCTGGTATTCTGTGAGAGCGTGGTCCTTCCCCGTTCGAGCCGACCCATTCGTGTTACAACTATACCAGAAATATAGCTGCAGCATGGCTCTACCATGTATAAAATATATTAACAATTCATTTTAATTAAATTAATACATGCTCTATTTCTTTCTTCTTTCCATTTTACATTCACGAAGCAAACAATTATTTCCGTAAAACTTACTTGTTCCAGACTTCCAGTCACAGTTAATATAAAAAAGCACGACAGTTGAATTAGGGATAAAAATATAGTATTTTTCGTACTACATTATTTTTCTATAATATATAGTACAATTGACCGAAACATAGTACGATAATATATATTATAGTACTGGTGGCAACCCTAGTCTGTTGATGAAATTGGCAGGGACCACCAAAAAGACCAAAAACACCAGTTGTATGACATTTGGAGACTGTCACTATACTTTTACTTATGTGTTAGGATGTATGCATTGTTGGTTCTAGAGTCATCGGAACCTCATTTCTCACTCACACTCGTTAATCGATCAGCTGCTCACGTGATCACTTGACCGATTAGCACATAATTAGACCCACGAATTTCGATAAACGCTGTCATTACCACCAGTAGAGGTCGCTCTAAACTCTAGAACAAACTTTTTAAGCTGAGGTAATAGCGCCCGTAACTGTGGAATGTAAGGGTGTGTACACACTGACGATGTTTGAAATTGTTTTTTTTTTCGACAATGATGGAAGGTATTAGCTGTTAGATAGCATTAAGGGCGTTTAATAAAAAGTAGCAATCAGTAATTAAAAGGTGTTCCTGTAATTTGGTTTGGGGTCGTAATGATAAAGCTACAAATTCGTCCATTATTATAAATTGGACCAAAAAAGATGAAGATCTTGTTGCAACAGTTTCTGGTTTGTTTCTGCGAATCGGTATGCATTCTCGGTACCCTAAGCACTGATATTTTTTCATCTTCGAGGTTTCATGTAAAATATGCTCACTACCCATCGAAATATTTGTTTTTTATTAAGTAGTAATTAAACGTACGGTACGTTGAATATGTGATACAACTGTTGAATAGAGCGAAGAATTTACTCCTACTGTACCTCATAAATTTGATTGACATGTTCCGTAGTGAAATTCTTCAAGCACAGATATTAAAATAACAGCACTTAATTAAATTTTTTCCTATTTTCGCCAAATTCAAATAAGCCGCAAAACCATGATTTCTTTTATTTAAAAAATAAAACCACCAAATCAGTTTAGTTTTAAGGTATCTTACAGACATTCTAATTTTACCAGCCAGGATTTACTTTTTTAAATTTCAAAGATCATGTACCACATTCTTCCTTACTGTAGCACAAGTATTCGTATAGTGGCACAAGTTACCGTACTCGCTTAAGGCCTTCTATTATACCTTATAAATATATTGCATTCCACCTGAGTATAAGTGGATGCTGTGGCCCATAGACGTCTACGTCTCCCTCGATTACGAAATGCGATTCCGCGCGCGTCATTAGTTACTGGATCGTATTAGCCTTCAGAAATTGACCTAAATCTTGGTTTTCATGTGTGGTCACTGCAAGCCACGGCCAGCGACCATTTACCATTAGATAGAACCTAGCTTTTACAATATTCTATAATTTTTTTTAATAGCACTCAGTAGCGTTGTGAATAAGCGGGCCGTGATACTACAGAGCCGGTGGTTCAAATCTCGCACGAAACTAGTGTTTTTATGGCTTACAATAATTGTTATGGTTCTGATTGTTTGTTCATGAGTAATTTATGTATATAAAACCTCGCTACGATACATGGGAAAATCCTAGTCTTTCCCTTATCATTTAAAAAAGATTAAAAATTAGGCGCATGATTGTTACGCCATTTTAAGTCTTATCATAAACTTATTAAAGTATATAATTTGTGCTGTATATAAACCGCACTATTTAAAGTGTAAAACAGGTAGGTAACATATTATACGCTATGACTAATAGTGTGCGCGTGTCTCAAGTTTCATAATTTCAGCGCATCTCGCGAGATTTTAGCGCCAGTACACCTGGGTTCAGCGCGCGGTGATACCCTCCCGGTGGTCCATTACTCGTGGATACTCGAAGTGATAATATTTCTAAAAGTGAAATCTGTTGAAAATTAAAACAAAAATCTGTTCAGTGTTCTAACGTATTCGTGTAGTTTGCGAATTTTCGGTATTTCGGATATTTTTTTATTGATATAATATATACATTTTTTTTTCATTGCAATAGTTGAGAAATTTTGTTTGAATTTTGTTGAAAATTTATGCCAGCTGATATTCTTGTAAATATCTACATCCTGCATTAGACTGAATATTTCAAAGAAAGAAGAGACTCTCCTGGTCCTGTTATCTTCTGCTCTTATCCACCTTTCTCATTCTTATCTTATAATTATTTTTCCGCACTCTCTTTTGGTGATTGGCAGATATAACATATTTTCTTCTTGACTACAATGTGAGATGCTTTCTGATGATGAGTCTATCTTGTGAAAGAAAAGTTTAGGTAATAAAAAAATATCAAACAAAATTCGTAAACTTTTTTATTCATACATCTGTAATTTTCTATTTGTTAATGTTTTCTTTTAAAATTAAAAATCGAAAAAGACCTGAGAAAAGGTTATTTTTTACCAAATTTAAAAATCTAACAGAAAATAAATAAGATAGTTATCAATTCGCGAGCCTGCCACCCGAAAACCTTTCGTCACCATCAGTGGTTGGTTCTTCGAGCTATATAGTCGGTTCATTTCCGCTTCTGCTTACTGATCCGTTGTGCTATATCGCTTACTCTGGTTCTACTGGTAATAGCCTCATTTCGAAGTCTATCACGCAGTGAAACCCAAAGCACATAGCCCGTAAGTCGTTAAGCGAGCTTGATTTTCCTTCAGAACTTCGTTTCAGAGTCATATGTCATCTCTGGCAATACGCGTTGGTATACCTCCCCCATGAAGAAAGGTACAGAACTAGATAATACATGCCATTTTTTGTTTGCGTGTGGATCTTAGTAAAATAGGTTTTTTGTAACAATGTAATTCATCATCATCATCATCTCAGCCCTTCACAAGTCCACTGCTGAACATAGGCCTTCCCTAAGTAATGTCACAAAGCACGGACCTAAGCGACCTGACATCTAGTGGGGGGTTGCCCTACACTTCGCCTACCGGGACGAGGCTGTCACTCGCGAACCTTTTTTCCCCATCGGTTGTTGGTTCTTCGATCTATATGGCTGACTCATTGCCACTTCAGTTTACTAATTCGTAAACAATGTAATTAATGTATGCAAAGTAAAACTTCACTTCTTCAAATTCTATTAAAGAAAAACAAAAAAAAAACTAATTTGAATTTAAAAATGATAATAATATAATAAACTTCACAAAAACTAAAAGCAAGGGTACAATAATATTAAAGTGATACGATCGAAATAAAAGTGATCAAGAGAATAGAATGAAATGGAAACGACAGACCCTGGTCTCCGGGGACACTTCGGAGGAGGATATCGGGCACAGTTACTTGGGCACCTTGGTAAGTTTAGCCATGTTATGTTCTCGTGGATGACCACGATATCTCGCTGATTGTATACCGTTTTCAATGTTTTTCGTCCCATTCAAATTTGAAGAAAAAACATGCCCTAAGTGTGGAAAACAGTTATGAAATTTTTAGTTTAACGTTAAAAACGAATTTCTAGTTGTTAATTTAAGAACAGAATAAATAATAGTACAAGAACAGAAGGATAATAATAATAATAATAATATATTTATTTGCTTAAAACATGGTACGAGAAAGGTTTTACAAATTATACAACAGTAGTACAGTTATATATAGCATGTAAAGTTTTCGTTTTGTACATTAAGGCTTCTGATTGAAAAAGTCTATAATGCTGTAGAAATTATTCTTAATTAGGTACTCTTGTAATTTAGATTTAAATAATCTAGTATTTAACATTTTTAGATTATTTGGTAACTTGTTATATATATATACGTACACACATAGATAGACAACTTTTATTATATTTATTTTAGTATGGGTTTCGCCGGTTTCGAGTAGAGTATGTAAATAGCAAAATATGTGAAACAGAAGTATACGAACTTAGAGGGTTTTATTGATGATTATTATGATTATAATTCTGTAAATATAAACTCATTACAGTCGCAAATCATATTTTGTTAAACGTACAACCTGACACTCACCTGCAAATTGCCAAAAAAAATGCAAGAAAATTTGAATTTCGCGGGCTAACCTGGCGCTTTCACCTTAAATGTATGATATATAAATGAAGACAATTTACATCTTAATTTTTGAATGTAGTTTCTAATTTAGATTTGTGTCTATTTCAATATCGAGTAGGGTTGTAGAGATGACCATTTCGATCGTATAGTTTTTGCAGTTAAAGTTTATTTGTAGAGATCGCTTTTGATAAGTTTTTAACAAGATTCATTAAGTTTTGTTAAAGTTTAATTCTAAATTATGTAATTCTAACCAGTTGTGTACTTTAGTGAGTGATGTATTTAATTTTTCGTTGCGTTTTACAATTGTCTGTAGATGAAAGCAAGATAGATACATCGTCCGCAAAGATAATACATTCTTCTTATAATTGTTGAAAGAAGTTGTTTATATATATAAGAAACAGAATACAACTAAGACACTTCCTTGAGGAATCGATCCTATAATCGGGGTCTTGTCTGATCTGCCTTTTTGGATTCCTCCTGTTTTGAAGTTTGTATTCTGGATTTCAACTATTTGTGATCGATTTTCCAAATTCGATTTGAACTCCAGTAGCATAAAGTTTATCTAAAAGAATTTTGTAACTTACTCGATCACATGCCTTACTCATGTCTAGCAGTAAGCCTACAGCATATTTTTTAGTAATAATTATGTCAAGAACTTTTTGTATATAGCCAAAATGGTGGGACGGTTTCTTCGAAAACCATTTTGGCTATCGTGAAATATGTTATAAAAAGAAATATTAATTTTTGTGACCATTGCACTATCAAATATTTGTGCTGACGTGGGCAATAGCGGAATGGGACGATAATTGTTAGGATCGGTTATATCGGCCTTTTACTAAAGATATTTTCCTTATAAAACTTTAAACCACGCGTGTAATAACGTTCATTGTTTTATAGGCAGGAAAATGTTGAAATTCCCCGTGACAATGTTATTAGGGTATTGGTTTATTGTTAATGCAGTTTTAACAATTATCCTTATGGATATACCTTTAAAGTATTGCTTTTATTCAAAGGTAAATAATGAACTATTACAAGATCTTAGTGACATAAACTTCCTAGCTCCAATTTAAATTACAAACTTATAGAAGAGAGACGTAATATACTGCATTGATAAAGTCCACGCCGATCGCCGTCACATATTTTTTTAAATATAGAATAATGGTGACAAACGAGCACACAGTCCACCTGATGGTAAGTGTATGATATGACCCATAGACATTCATAATCATCCTAGCCTAGAAATATGTATATAAAGAAGAATGTCGTTAAAATAGTCACATTAAAAACATCCATTTTCTACCCTTAAGGGTGGAACTGCGTGGTAGAACCACGAATGGGCCGTCTCGACCGGGGCATGACCACACTCTCATAGAATATCAGCGTAAAATAGCACCTTAATGCTACTGTGTTTAGTATGGTGAGTGTAGAGAATCGGAGACAGTTTTTACTGGAAACGAGGCATTCCATCTTAGTTCTCAGGCATTTTTACTCTTAATCGAGGATAGATGTAGATGTCTATAGGTCACCGCATTCATTTACCATCGGGTGGACTGTGTGCTCGTTTGTCACCTTTATTCTATAAAAATTAACAGTAAAGTTCTAGAAAATTCAACTTATGGTGGGTGGTGAATGATATGAATGAATGAAAGATAGTTTATTGTACACCGATAAATAAAAGCAAAAAAAAAATACAACAAATAATTATAGATAAAGGAACGATTGTCGGCCTTATCGCTTAGAGTAGGTAGAGGTCGCTCTACTTTCTTTCTTTCTTAATAACTGACTTTACGGCTCTGGGATCTAGCCCTTCTGAGCCTGAAGTTACAATATATTATAATAATTATCCTTTATAGTATACTGCTTCACAATATGTTGATGCGTCACATTGTGCAGCCCTTGGGAGATTTTGACGGCAACTTGAGCCAGCAGACAGCTGACGGTTGGCGATGGTATCTCAAGGCGCCTAAGCAGACAGACACCTTTTTTAGAACCACATCACCATTAGAGCACTTGTTTCACAATTCCCACTAATAGTTCACATGCGCAGACACTTAATACACAAAAACGCACCACTTTTACATATCAAAGTCCACTTCAAACCATTGTTTAAACAATAATACAGGAGCAGCAAACCGCCGCCGGTCAAGTTCCCGCCAAAACCTCAGGTCGCTCTACCATGCAACCATATTGCAGAGGATATAATGATAAATGTCCTCTAGACCGAATTTCGATCACGACGGCCAGTCTCAACGGAGACTAGCCATCTGCGCAGGACAGGACTATAGTGTCTGAGTGTAGGCGCAAGCACGGGTGCATTCTCTCTTCCTTCACTCCCATAGTCCGATGGGACGGTAATTCGACACGACCAGAGAGAGAGAGAGAGAGAGAGAGAGAGAGAGAGAGAGAGAGAGAGAAAGAGAGAAATAGATCAGGCGCAAGACCAACGGCCAACTTGTGGGCCATCGTTCCAATACGTACCAACGTAGCTTAAACACCCGCTCTACACGATGGCCATCGTTGTTGGCCAACACATTCGCCAGTGTGTTGGCCAACGTGAAGAGCCGCCGTTACGTGAAACACCGCCAACTTTCTTGACTCCGAACTGCCACTGAGATTTTCTTAACACGAAAAATAACAATAACTGATTTTGGCGCGGCCCAGGAATCGAACACAGGACGTCTTGGTTAGCAATCGCGTTTACGACCATTAGACCAATGAGACAGTCAGTGAACTGTGAGAAAGGGTAAGGTTGGTGATGTGCATTAGGTGATAGTAAGAAACATCTCCGTTAAAATAACACGTTGAACATACATATGTAAATATTTTTTTTTACTGTCAGTCAGTCCGGTAGCGCGTGATTGTTTGTTCGTTCAGTTAGAGCGTTTACACACCGCTAAGTGGGGCCCCTTACTAATTGATCACCAACGGTGTTTTGGACATGTTGGGCGAATCACGAGGTTTTGTAATCCAGTTGGTGTTTATCTGTGGTCGGTGTCATTGTCTTTGATATCTGTGTACGCCACGACTTAATGCAATCGGCATGAAGCTGTTATTGAGAGTACGTATGTTGAAGCGTGTGCGAATGTAATCTATATTTTTATACGTGGTAGAGCAATATTGTAGCTATATTATGGTTGTAGCACGAATGGGTCGGCTCGACCGGGGAGGGACCACGCTCTCACAGAATACCAGCGTAAAATAGCAGCTTAACACTGCTGTGTTTCGTATGGTGAGTGTAGAGAACCGTAGACCCTTTTTACTTGAAACGAGGCATTCCATCTCAGTCCTCAGGCGTGACGACACATCTGAATTTCGATTCGTAATCGAGGATAGATGTAGACGTCTATGGGCTGCAACATTCACTTACCATCAGGTAAACTGTGTGCTCTTTTGTCACCCTTATTTTATAAAAAAAAAGATTTAAAGTGTTACTTTTTGTGCTTACATTTTATCAATTAAATTTCATATCTTAAAACACCACAACTGAGCTTGGTCTCTCCCAATTTGGAAGGATTTGCCAATTGTTATGCCTAACAGGCTGATTATAAATATGAAATATAATTATGTATGCTCATTGGTCAGGGTTTATTCGGGAGTAAGGAGTTTGTCCAAAAAATACCGTCCGACTGTAACCGTTGCCTCTAATATATGTGGCATATTAGATAAAAAAAAGTAATTCTGATAAGAAGAGAGAGCCTTAATGTTCAACCATTAACCTCCTCTGGCTCCCTCTCCAAGTTCTGTTCAATGCTAAGACATAGACTGAAATCTATAGACCGTTCTTTGACTTTGTTCAGACTTTACTTTCGAGTTAAAACAATGGCGGTATTTATACAGCTAACTTCGAAGTCGTGCTGAGTGCGCGCTTATCAAAGCCTAAGTCAACGAAATCGAGCACTTACGTAAAACTCAGGATATTATCCGAAACCACGGTATTAATTTTAAATTGTTGTTTTTATGTTACTCTAATTATAATAATAATAATCATCTTTATTTAGGCAAATTACACCCATATCCAGTAAAATCAATGAAATTAAAATCAGTCAATCAATCAATTAAAAAAATCAAATCAATGTCAATACAAAAGAACAATTTAAAAATAATGAATCCAGGCAATGTAATTAGGCAGTAATGTCAGCATATAAATAATATAATGAGATAAAATAAAATTAAAATTAATAAATACATAACACAATTACACACATTTATCAGTCAGGAGACGAGATCAATAATTCAAACTTTCTCTGAGGCAAACTGTGCTGCAATAAATGAATTTAAAATCAATCTACAAAATTT